GAATTGTTTGGCACATGTGTAAAGTGCCTCGGATGTATTTCTTTTGTTTGATAGTTGTGGTGAGAGTAAAGTGGACTAAGTTTGGGGACCCCATACACTTACTCACGTAGAGTCTTTTTGTTAGAAACACTAGGTAAGTAGGTTGGTGCCACTCATGTAATTTTGAGCTTGTTTTGAGTTGAGGTTTAGGGTCTTTCCCCCCTGTTTTTCCTGTTTTTGTTTTTGTAGGATAATATCTCAGCTAAGTTTTGTTTTTGTCTTTTTGGTGTCCCTTTCTCCCCCACATTTGTTGTTTGAATTTGGGTTACTTATTCTGTGAGAGCACTGCTATTAAACTTTTTATAACACCTGTACCGGGTTTCCAGAGTTGTTGTGTTATCACCTCCTGCCCTCGAGGAGACGTAACACTTGGATAAACAAATAAATTACACCCAAAGAGTGGAGAACACCTAGGACCAGCAAGTATGGTTCCATGATCTCATGAAGAGCCTCAAATACACAATGAAAACACATACACAAAAAAAAGGTGTTGAAAAAGCTCTCACTTTATTCCCAATTCATGCTTTCCACATCCACGTTTCCCCAAGAGTTGTATGAGTCAGCGTGGCATAAATTCAGTTATCTGCCCAAATTTAAAAGGGTCCACAATGACGCAGTTTGGAGACAAACTTAAGTAGGCAAGGATGAGATGGTTTGAACATGCGGAGAGGAGGAATGGTGGATGTAATGGGCAAAGGATAGTAAATATGGAGGTGCCAGCCAGGAGGAAACGGGACTTCCAAGGGTCTAGTGAAGGAGGGCATGCAGAGGGTTGGTGTAACAGAGGAGGATGCTAATAATAGGGTGAGATGGAGGAAGATGATCTGCTGTGGCGACCCCTCAAGGGAGAAGCCAAAAGAAAGAGAACCATTAACACATTCTCAGGATTAATTATTATTTAAATTGTTTTTTTTTTGCAAGCTTTTTTTAAAATTACATAATGTATCTATAATCTGAATGTATTACTTATGTCTTAAAGAATGTTGCATTCTCAAAGTGGTCTATGGGTGAGGACAGTAACATAATACTGGATGGAGAGCCAATGTATGTAGGCCCTGGAAGGCATCCATTGCCTGCAGGACTTGAACCACAACCAGTGACATGGAAGGTGGAGGGAAGGGAAGAACCCAGAAATTGAGACCTAAAAGCAGCTTAGTAAACGTTAACCCCTTTATATACCCTTTAGATTATCTTAAAAGAATGCAACAAGGAAAAGAAAACCTCTACATCTCTAAATTAGCTGCAGCTTCTTGATTGTGTTTTTATGCTGTGATGTGAACATAAAGACAAGGTATAGAGAAACTGCTGAACTGCAGAGTGGTGCCGAGTGCAGTGCTGCAGGTCAGTACTTGCAGGGTTAAAGGATGAAAAGTAACGAACAACAAGAAGATCTCGGCTGATCATCTGTGCACTTTCTCCTTGGAAGTGGAGCGGAAGAGTTTACGGTTTGCAGCTGTGAAGGTGTGACTGTGACAGTTATATAATAATTTTCAAAACGGATGAATACACTGCAAGTCACCCCATCCTAACTTTGGTTATGTAACATGTCACTGAAGCCTGCATGGCTGAAAAGTTAGTCGTGATGAAAGGACTGGTGGCAGTCAAATACAGATTCGGGGAGTTTTCGCAACATGGGTCACATAGATTTATTATTCATTAAACATAATGGATTTGTCTAAAAATTTGAGGCTTTGTCTACATAGGGTGTTTAAAACAAACTGGATGTACTCTTATTTTCTGAATACCCATAAAGCCAAAATTGAGATAAAACACAAAGTAGAAACAAAAATAGGAAAATCTTTGACAACCAAAAATACTAGAAAACAAATTAAGATAGAAAAAGATAATTTCTTTAACTTAAACAGGAACTAAAGGGCTTTTTTTCCTGAAGCTAATGCATTTTGTTTATGATGCATTAAATACATATTTTATTAAAGCCATTCTGCATTGAAGCAACTTTAATATGTAAAATATTTTCTCTTTGGGTTTAGAAAAAACGGCTGTTGTGCTGTTAGGAATTTTCAGCTCAATGAATATCTGCACTGTGACTGTTGAGGGCATCTCATTCATTATTAAATCCCTGGAAGGTACAAAGAACAATGAGTGTTGACTTCCCCTGCAATCTATAACACACTGAATACTGAATAAATGTAGAAAAACATGCATCCAGTAGCTGCCCAGGAGGCTGTACCAGAGTATGTGTAGCAGAGTCTCTTGTTGCTCTAATGCTGGATGATTTGAGCATTTACTATGAGTTACATTTAACCATATGCACACAGACGGGTGTAGAATTTTTTTTTATTGCAGAAAAATTGGGTAATATTTTTTGGGTAAAGTGCTTTAATTTTTCAAAATAAAAGACAGCTTGTCATGTTTAAAACTAAAAAAAAAAGTCACTATGTGGCGTTGTTAGGGGCACATTTCTAAGCAACTTTATAAAACTTGATACAAAAGCAAAGAAAAGCAACACGTAACATCTGTCTTCAGAGGGTGGAAAGGGTTTGGTTATGTTTTCATTTAGACAAATCATCTGAACTGGTAAATTATTTAACATTATCGCGGGAGATTTCCTGTAAACAAACAAAGATTATGTTTACACAGACCGCCATCCTTTAATTGTAAAATAATATGCTGAATGTGTTTCCTCACTTATAAAATATTTACATATTTTTAAATATTTAAAATCCCACGTTGTTTACATTTATGTTTAACTGCTAAACAATTTTTTTTATGTCTTTCTAAGCGTGTTTCCATCCTATGGGTGTCATTTAGAATAAAAGCATTGTTGCTAACTTGCTCTTTCTTGATTTTTCATGTAGTTTTCTGTTTCCTTTCATGAAGGTATATTTTTCAACATAAATATATTCAACTACTACATTTTATTCGGCCAAAGTAACGCAAACCTAGACACTGGTGTGACCAAATATATATTCCCCAATTGGTTTTGATTGGTTGTTGAATGATGCCACTGGCAGTTACATGAGGAATTTGGTGTCAGAATGGTATATGGTGCTACACCCAGAGCCACTGAGTAAGTCACTTGTGTCAGCGAGCGTTCAGAATTGGGTTTGTCACGGCAGTATTTAACAGCAAATTTAAATTAAGTGACAAACTGTCAAATTTTGATAATTATAAATCTATAACTGTATTGATTTATTATATTACCATACCAGATACAACTGTATATGTGATTACATCAATTTGTATACATACAGTAAAATATGTGAGGATTTGTCTGGACACTTAACCAGAGCTCTTGAATTGATTTGAACTATTATGAGGCTCCATGATCCGCCATTACTGCAACAAAAAATAGAAAAAGGTTCATTGGAGTGAATGGAGATGATGCGACTGTGTAGTCCATACAATGAAAAAATATACCTCCACTGCTGTGCACAAAAAAATTGCCTTACATGTATTTTCAAAATAAATGTAAAGCTGGAAAGTATGTTTTGTTGTGTGGATTTATTGGTAATTGAAATGTGTTAGCAGAATTTTCAAGTGATGATGATTCATCTCAAAAATCATGAGACACTGCTCTCCCATATATAAGCTGCCTTTATAGGTTAAAGGTATCAGTACTGGTATCAGCACTACTATCTGTATTTACTTGGTATTGGATCGACATCAATATCATGATTAAAAATTAAAATAATACACCAAAAGCATCAAGATCAAATTTAAGACACTGTCCAAGAGTAATAAATGAGAGCCATGTTAATTAAATCATGTTTTATTATAGTTAAAGAAAAAACATAATGTTAATGTATAGTAACACACAAAGCTGACTGTTCATCACTCGGTTCAAAAGAGACGCTGAACAATGTTAACAGGCATATTGCAGTTAATGAGAACATTCCAGTACAAAAAAAGGATGAAATGTGACACTGTAAAGTAAAACCACTAAACTAAAATATGATAAGCTAAAGATTATGTAAGAAAACTCTTTCAGAGAGGACTGAAGTGAGAGTGAGCACTGCATAAAAGCCTCAGCTAGCTGAGCCAAGTGCGTTTAGACGGGGCTGGAGCAAAGACTCCATAAGTGCATGAGGTGCAAACTGTGAGGCCATCAGTTAGTGAGGTGGACGCCTGTATCCTCAGCCATCGGTACTGAATTCAACATTTCTGTGTAGTAAAGTGGGAGGAGTTAATTGGGGTGTATCGCCAACATAATGTGACTCCATTAAAAAAATGGTTCTCCAGTGTATGAAAGCGTGTACGACAGTCTGCTAAGGTGCAGCACTGAGTAATGACTTTCCACTACACGTAAGTGAGCTTGCATGCTCTGATTTAGACTATGGGAATACAGTTGTTCTATATGAAAACATATGACAAGCAACATGTACATAAGATAGTTTGATGCACACGAAGAAACTTTGCAAAAGAAATTCACAGCGCTTTGCAGTGAAGTCTGAATGGGCTGTCAGGGAGGCCTTAGTGGTTGAAGACACTGTCGCAGGTTTGATCCCCAAAATGTTCTTCAGCAAACCTGCTCAATCATTCTCAGTCATTTAAGCACCTACACGGTGGTTTAATCTCATGGATGGAGAAAAAAAAGTAGTTAGCAGAGCAGAAAGTTTGGTTTAAACTTGAACTGTAGACACACAGGAGACACTGAGATCAATTATCTTTTAAACGTTCACTGAAAAAATAGGTTTTCCCTCAATAACACCTACTAGTGTCCAAATATATACAAGCTTTAATTTCACTGAAGTGACCATACTCCTTACAACCAAAGATTTATTTTGGAAAATGTGGATTTAAGTTGTTTTTTGTTTCAATAAAATATATCTTGGCAGGGATTTTATACAGTTAGTACACCCTACTTAAGTGTGTCTCACAGTGTATTTTGTCCCTTTTCATATTCAAACAAAGTTCCGCCTCATGAGCACAGAAAATACTGAGTTCAATATTAAGATACTCGATATTCAGAGGTGCAGAGAGATGCATGTGGTTTTTTCCCCCTGTCTTCTAACAGCAATAGTTGTGTAACGAATGCTTCTAAAACAACCATTAGCGTCATTTCTCTGTAACATCAGTAACAATGTTAGCGCTAAATGGTTTGTGCTTAATTAATGGAAGTTAAATACATGGCTGGAGTCTGAAGGATGCATCCTCTTCAGTGCCAGAAAGAGGCAAACGTCTAGAGTCCAACATCTCTTCAGGATGCAAATAGAGTTCCCTTGGTGTCCACAACTAATCTCGCACCACAGTAGGAGGGCTCTCCCTCACTTCAAGTGGGACTTCATCTAAATGCACAAAGTCCTCTGGGTTTCTAGATGGAACATCTGCGTTTATTGAGTCTTCTGTAGGTGTTGATGCTGTGCAACCCCGTGGACACTGAGCTGATGCCCGAGTGGCGCTGCAGACAGCACACACAGCCGTTAGAGTGAAGGGGATTGGAAAAAGCCTCTCCCTGCTCCATGTAGGTGTCTGAAGTGGAGAGGTCGCGGGGGATGATCATCGGTATGGAGTACTGCAGCTTCTCTCTACTTTTGTACCAAAGACAGGAGCACATGGACTGGAAATGAAGCACCTCAGCGTAAACGTTACGCAGACCCCGGCTTGCCGCTCCGCCTCCCCCGCTTCCTCCGATCGCACTCCCTCCGCCGACAAACCCAGAATGCGTGGAAGAAGGAGAGGCCGGATCTACGGAGCAGTTGATGTGTCCGCCTGCCTGACCGTTATGTGCCAGTAGAGCCCTCTGTTCAGCATCCCTCTTCTCGTCCTCGGCGTTCATGGTCATGAAGCGCAGCACTGCTAAGTTGAGGAACGCTCCAATCACGGCCAGACCTGTCAAGATGTAGATGAAGCTGAAGGCCACGTACTGCGGCTTCTTCTGCAGAGCGTGCTCATTCTGCAGCGCCACATAGTCCCCAAAGCCGATGGTAGTGAGCGTGATGAAGCAGTAGTAGAAGGCGTGAAAGAAACTCCACCCCTCAAAGTGGGAGAATGCCACTGCGCCCACACATAACGTGCTCATGCAGGATATGAAACCGATGGTCACCATGTTGACCATGGAGACCTCAGTGCGCCTCATTCCAAGGCACTTCTTCAGGCGGTGGAGCAGGTACCTGACAAAGGTGTTGATCCGCTCACCCACGCTCTGGAACATGACCAAGGTGAGAGGGATGCCCAGGAGGGCGTAAAGCATGCAGAACATCTTCCCTCCATCTGTGCTCGGGGCTGCATGGCCATAACCTGAGGGAAGAAGGGAGAAAGAAGCAGGGTTACTGGGGCAGAACTAATTAAATCTGCAGTGCAGAGGACAGGGGTCTGAGAAGAGAAGGCTGGAGGCAGGAAAGATATGAATGATTTGTATTCTCTGAGCAGCTCTTCTGATGAATTCAAAAACCCTTCATTTCACAGCGGCAGTATGCAATTGGAGATGAGAATGCACAGCGGTGCGGCGGGAAGAGCCGAGTATTGATGTCGTGTACAGGAGAGAGAGAGAGCTTGAATAATTCATTGACAATCGGTGTCCGCAGAGTGGCTTCAACTAATGAGTACATTTGCACCTAATTAGGACTCAACATTTTCCAGATCAAATAAACAGGACACCGTAGGGTAGTGTGAACATACCGGTCTTTTTGTTTGTTTCTATAACACCACTTTTTGCCCCACATGGTATAGAAACTCGTCAGCATTGTGGCCGTTAACAGTCAAAGCCCCCCCAAAAAGTATCTATGGCACAAAATATATCAAAAAGTGGGAGAAAATTTTCCTGTAATTTATCCCCCATAAAACAGAGAGCAGCTGATAAACCACTTACTGTAAAAACATACTGTCAGGGAGATGTGTACTCACTGAAATGACCTGCAAGCACACACTACCTCCTACTTTATGGCCTGACTCAGAGATTTTGTAAAGATACAGAGCATGGAGCTCCCAAATTTCAGGATGTATTTTCAGGTTAATTGTCAGCCTTTTGTGTCATAACATCATCTTCTCATTATTATTGCCCAGCAGGATATGACTCCCTCGCAAGCAACATCATTACAGCGTGAAATATGTTCCCAATACGAGGACCTGATGCGCGCCGGGACGGAAAGATGACGTCCCCGATAACAACAGGCTGGGCAAGTGGAACGGGCTGACCAATAGTTGAATGTAATTACTCCTGGGTTGATTTAATTCTTCTGGCTCTGGTTCTTTTGCCGTGCTGATCCGTGCGTTTGAACCATCTGTCTGTCTGGTGCCAAATATGTTTAAAGCTTTCCCAGTTGTGCCGCCAAAATGAGAGTCATTACGACTGATGGATCTCTCAGTAGAAGGAAAAACCTGACCTGTTCTCCGAGTGCGAGGACATCTTGCTTCTTTGTGGCTTTGCCTATTTTTAATCTCATCCCCACAAAGACATTTATCACATTTTCCAAAGACAGAGAAATTACCTCTGACTGCAGTCTTTTCTAAGTAAGAGACTGAGTCTCGGGACAAATGATGACCTTAGGTTGAGCTTAATATCTGCACGGGAGTGCTTTTAAACTTGAATAAAATTAGCATTCCTGGTGCAGCACACGTACTATTATTCCATCACTTATTGGTTGGGATGGTTAAATAATTTACTTTTAGGTCTTTCAACAGTTTATCCATTAGGCCTGCAATAATTTTTCCAGCTGTTCTCCGTGACTGTTATTTGCTTTCAGCCATTACTTCTAGCAAACTGCTTAAACAGTTTAATAATTTGAATTAACGATTTTAAACATTTAATCAGCACTTTTAGCTGTTTATCCATGTTATCTGGCCAGCTATTTATTCAGTACATTTAGCTCTCTATTTCAGCCGTCTATAATGTTAATCTTTTAAAAACTAAGTTTGTAATGTTACCTATTAGAACCATTTTTCTCTTGCTTTCTGTAAGCGATTACAGAGCTAACTAAGCAAACTGGTTGCTGTTTTATAAACCATTTAAAGGACACAACGTAAGTTGTTAACTCTCTGTTCCAGTCACGCTCCATTCCTTTGAGGATATTTAAATCTTTCTTTTCACTAACATGTTTCAACCTTACTGCTATACCTCGTCCTGCATGCTGTATTCAGTTCTTACAATATACTGTTCAAAAGTCTTGAGTCAGCTTTAATTTCTTTACACTTTGCTTCCATGAAGCCAGGCTTTCCTGTCAAGTCTTTCAAAGTTTTTCTTTGCACACTGGCTCCTTTTTTTTCTTTTTTTTACATTTTCAGCCCAATCTTTGTACCTGTAAAAACACAATTTGTTCCCATTGCTTTAGCTGAATCTATGAAAAATGACAACGATAACCCAGCTGATTCCCCAGCTCTTTGGGAATCACCCAAAGGGATTCCCAAAGAGCTGGGGAGCTTCTAGCTAAACTTGGCACACTTGCTGTGCAATGTGTCCTTAGAAATCAGAGGAAACTGGAAAAGTGACGTGGCAGTGAAAGTGGGAGGCCCAAAAAACTATTGACAACAGATGAACAGTATCTAAAAATTAGGACCTTATGAATAAATAGGAAAAAGTCCAGTAGAGACCCGACAAAATACAAGAGAACTGGACTGAAAATCTGTGGCAACATTTCTTATGTAGTGATGAAACGAAATGTGAAAGTTCTAGTTAACAATGAAGGAGGATACAACAGTGAGGGTCTACAGCCATCTTTAAAATACGGTGGAAGTTTGTCTTGGATTTTTGGCTGCATTTCAGCTGGTGGTGTTGGACATATGTGAAAATTCCTGAAATTATGAACACGGAAAAGTACTGTCAGATTTTGATCCACCATGCAGCACTGTGTGGAAAACATCTGATTGGTAATGGCTTCATTTGTCAAATGGTAATGAACCCAAACACACTGCCAGTGCCGTGAAAGGATCCCTGGACAAAAAAACACACACACACTATCAGTCATGGATTGGCCTCCCCAAAACACAGACCTCAACATTATTGAAGTAGTATGGGATAATTTTGACAAAGAGCAGAACAAAAGGCTGCCATCATCCAGAGAAGAGCTTTGAATCTCCTTCAAGAAGCCTGTTTAACTATTCCTGAAGAGTACTTAAAGACATTAGAAGAACGTTTGCCTAAGAGAGTTCAGGCTGTGTTGACGAATAAAGGTGGTCACACCAAAATATTGACTTTCAAGCTTGTTAGAATTATACAAACTCTGTTTTTGCCATATATACTGTATGTTTGCACACATTCCAATACATTGCTGCACCATCTTCCTATCAAAATGTAATGAAATGAGACGTTTGTACAGTGTTGTAATCAGTCGTGTGCATTTGTCATTATTATAATAACTGACTACTGACTTGCTTTTTCTCCAACAAATGCTGATAATCAGAAATGCATATGGTCAGTCCATCCCTCCGAACTTCCATCTCAGTGTTACTTTTTATGCATATATATTAAAGTCATAACCTTCTAAGGAAATTTTTCATTATTATTTTCATTTCAGAAGGTGCAGCTCAAACTTACTTCTGCATTTGAAATTATTTATTACTGTCCCCTCAGGCCCCGCACACTGCTAGTAGAGAAGAAAAGAAGAAGAAGAAGTCATTGAAAGTTAACATAATTAGTCACAGTGCAAGAAAAGATGTTGGGGTGAAATCCTTGAGTGTGTTTCTTTCTCTAAAATGTTAGCGACACACAGGGTTTTGTGGCTCTCCCCATAAAAATAAAAAATAATTCCTGATTTAAATGTGGCCACTAGCCTCTTTGAGGTGCTGCAGTATAGCACATGTGCATATGTGATTTCAACAAACTAACCAACCATCAGTCTTCAGTGGAAAAGTCTGGAATGTCCAAGCCTGGCGAAGGCGCCATCAGGTCACAGCTTTGACCAGGAGCGTGTTTGTTGTTTTTACATTGATAGGGTTGTGCAGGGTAAAATGCATCCCTGTAGGTGAGACTGTGAATGTGCGTTTTGTATCATCCATATGCCGTGAATGACCTTAGCTGTGCCTTGTGCCATCGTGTCACTATGTGGTCACTCACAGCACACTGAACAAGTCAGGAGTGTTGTCATAGTGTGGAAGGAACTTTAATATTTTATCTTGTCTGTGATGTTATGTTGTGGGTTTCGTTAATATTGATTTTGATTATTTATATTTTGTATACACGCATCCACACATGTGCAGTAAAACCTAAGCGCAGTTGTCTTTTTCTGACAATGTTGTATTTTATTCTGTTCTGTTTATTCTTATTATCTTATCCTATTCCAGTGTTTTTCTTAATTTTTGCTACTGTGTCTTTGCACTGTCCACTTTCTGCTGCGACACAACAAATTTCCCACATGTGGAACTAATAAAGGTTATCTTATTCTTTTATTTGCATGCTTTTATTAAAAGAAATTGTACTACTTCCAACCTGCATCTCCATAATTCAACGAATGACCTACACCTGCTCAGTCACCCGATATAAAAGGAGTCCAGCGTAGCAGTTGGCACAGTGGGATCGATACATCACAGAGACTCACCAGGGTGGGGCCCCAATGGAACAAGGAGGAAGTGGCAAAATGGACTGGGAAATCCAGTTAAAGGCAATAATAGTGCGGAAAGTGACAAGAAAGTCATTGTTACGATGGCTTCTTGAGCATTTCGTTTAAGACGGTGATGCCTGTGGACATGTTATTACTGTACACTGGCAGTTAGCATTGCGTGCTTTTAGTTTTTGTTATTTTAAATATTCTACACTTAAAATTCTTCCTTGACTTCTGCATTCTGAGTAGGGTAGGTTTCTCACCATCCAACTAGCTCACAACATTTGGCTCCATGTGACTTCTTTCTTTTTCCTCAAAATATAATTTCAGTTGAAGGGTTGTTGTTTTGACATAATAGACGTACATATCGCAAATATGCACGTGCAGCAGTCACATTTGGGACTCCCAAAAGATGGGATCTAAAAATAGGAGTACTGGAACATGCTGCATTAGGGAGATGACGGTGAAAGGAATGGCCAAATTTAAATTGGGAAAGATTTTTAAGATTTTTACCTGTAAGTAAAAATAAATAAATGCACTGATTAATCATTCATCATGGAATAAGCAGGGCAGTGTATGCTCAGGTGAGCACAGAAGTTGAGCTGTAGGCCTGTTTGGAGCTGTCACAAAGAGCATGTGGCCTGTCGAGACAGGGAGATGACCAGAGTGACAGTGGCACTCGTCACCGGCGCACACGGGAGCTGGAGGCAACAACGCCAGCAGTCCTATCACCATGTGAGAGAGTGAAGAGTCGCACATGACAAA